GGAGTATATGAATAGTGCATCAAAGTAACAGTAATTAAGGTGAACACAGTGACTTGTATTGCTGTCTGAATGGACCGTGATACTCACATTATTTAATTAAGAATAATATGGGTGTTAATTATAGTCACCAGATATCATAAATAGTACCACCTATGATGCTTAGAGGGAACAATTATTTGAAGTATGAGATAATACTTTACTAAGCAAAATGCAAAACTGATCATATTTCTCTGAAACCTTTATCATTTAGCCCCAGCTTTCTCTGCTCATTTCTTATCAGCCCATGCAAAGTTCCCTACAATTTTCCTTGGTTGGGGGGGAAACCCTGCAAAGTCTCTTAAGAGACTGAAATGAGAAAGGATAGTTGTTTAGTTATCATTTATTTGTAAGTTCAATAGAATTTAATTAACTTCTGATGCTAATCCATATCTCATGTGCTTGAGTCATGTATTTCTTTTCTATTTGTTGCCTGGAAAAAGAAAAGTAAGAGGACTGTAGGTTTATTTCTTCCTCTATGGCAAGTCTTGAAATAAGCTGTACAAAAATTTCAAATAGTCCATTCATGATCTGTTTACATATACATTCTCTGAGGACAGAAAGTACCATTTTATCCCTTTTCTTGGATTTAGGATCATTTGTTACATAAAGTAGGATACCACTTAAATTTGGGGGAAAAATAATTTTAAATATGAGTAAATGTAATACATTGATAAATGCTTAAAATTTGTGTTTATTATCCCCTTGCTTTTCTTTGTAAATTTTCCCTATGTACATTTATCCACGAATAATACATTGTTTTGTTTTGCCTCTTTTGACACTTTATAAAAATAGAACCATACTCTGAATTCTTAAAACCTTGTTTAAGGTTACATTTTTGAATAATCCAACTTGACATAACCATACATTTTTCACTGCCACACAGCATCATTGAATGAGTATGAAAATCGTCCAGTCTACTGTTGATAGATTTGACTTGTTTCCTATCTTTTGCTGTTGTAACCATTCTTGTGCATTTTTCCTGGTGTACCTGTGCACACTTCTATGGAATATATCTGAAGTGGGATTATTGGGTCATGAATGTGTTCAGCTTTGCTAGGTAATGCTAGATTGTTGTACCTCTAATTGATGTCATCACTAACAGTTGCTCCATATTCTTGCCAATACTTGTTACTTTTTGCCAGTCTGGTGGATGGAAAATAGTATCCTATTTTGACTTTGCTTTATATTTCTTTTACATTTTCCTACTAATTAGGTTGAGCATCTTTACATGTGATTTCTGGCTATTCAGATTTCCTCATCTGTGAAGTGTTGAAATGTTTGTGTCTTTTGCCCATTTTTATAATGGTCATTTGCCTTTTCTTACTTGTTTATAGGAATACTTCATGTTTTCAGAATCAATCCTTTGTTATATGTGTTGCATATTCCATATTTTTTTTCTTCAGCTTATTCCCCCCCGCCTTTTTTCAATTCATCTGTCTGTTCCCATTCTTCTTATCATTATTGCCCTTCTGTTCTGTCACAAAATGTGATAATGACTGCACATGCAGCAGTGTGGAGGTAAATGTTACCATCTGGTAGTTTGTATAGTTTGAGCACCTGCCAAAATCAAGTAAAACCAGATAATTGTTTAGAAATGTTGCAATCCAGCCTCTGGTCAAGCATGGCTAATCCAGAAAGTCTAAATATTGGATGTTCTTCAGAAATTGTATTAGACTTCATTCTCTATTGACACTCCCACTCCAAGTGATTCTGTTGAATTCTGTAGTTCAGAAACTTCCAAATTTATCTCTGTAGTAAGTCTCAACTCTAGTCTCATATATCTGACTTTTGACTTGATATCTCTTGAGTACCTCAGACTCACTCTGTACAAAATGTAACTAGTTCCTGATTTTTCCTTTGTTTCAAAATATCATTCCTTTCTCAGTCTGCCCAATCACAATCACAAACCACATAGTTGCACAAACCCAAAACCTGGGAGTTAAATTGCCCTGAGAATCCCATGGACAGAGGAACCTGGCGGGCTGTGATCCCTGGGGTCGCAAAGAGTCGGAAATGACTAAAGTGACTTAGCACATCCTTCTTTATTTCTTTTCTGTAGCTCCTTCATTCCAGTTCATCAGCCCAAATTGAGTTTGTGCCTCACTCAATCTTCTTACTGGGGCAAGGCAGGAACTTTGAATTCATTGTAAAGGAAAGCACTACCCTAATCGAGTTTAGGAAATTACAGAGATGTTAGATTTGTACCCTGACATTTGCATTGTTAACCGTTGCTCTAATTATTAGGAGATAAAGGAAACAAATATAGAAATTCTTGGCAAAACAGTATATATAGTTTTACTTAGAAACTATCATAGAAAAAATAAAAATACCAACATAAGGGAGGCCCTCAGGAAAATCCTCTACATGGGGCCTGAACCCCTGACAATGATATATCTTGATGTTTCTTTCTCATATGAAATTAATAGACCACGGCTATATTCTTGAAGTATACAGAGGGTCCCTTTGAAAGGGTTGCTTTCAAAGAAATAGGCTGAATATCTGTGCTAAGAAAAAAAAAATTTAGAATAACTTACAGATTCTCTAAAATTTATATACTTCTATAAATTGAAGAGAAAGTCACCACTTTGAATGCCCAAGTAAGACAGAAGAAAGTAATGACAATATGTGAATTAAGAAAATTAAAGGCATCCATTCACACTTCTCCGTTCTACTAGAATATGGTTATCTGGTTGATCTGTACGAGCTAGCTGTCTACACCAGGCAAAACCAACTTCAGTTCAGTCACTCAGTTGTGTCCGACTCTTTGCGACCCCATGAATTGCAGCACGCCAGGCCTCCCTGTCCATCACAAACTCCCAGAGTTTGCTCAAACTCATGTCCCTTGAGTCAGTGATGCCATCCAGCCATCTCATCCTCTGTCGCCCCCTTCTCCTTTTGCCCTCAGTTTTCCTCAGTATCAGGGTCTTTACCAGTGAGTCAGCTCTTCACATCAGGTGGCCAAAGTGTTGGAGCTTCATCTTCAGCATCTGTCCTTCCAGTGAATATTCAAGCTTGATTTCCTTTAGGATTGACTGTTTGATCTTGCTGTCCAGGGGATTCTCAAGAGTCTTCTCCAACACTACAGTTTGAAAGCATCAATTCTTTGGTGCTCAGCCTTCTTTATGGTCCAACTCTCACATCCATACAAGACTTCCGGAAAAACCATATCTTTGACTATATGGACCTTTGTTAGCAAAGTGATATCTCTGCTTTAAAACACTGTCTAGGCTTGACATAGCTTTTCTTACAAGGAACAAGTGTCTTTTCATTTTGTGGTTGCAGTCACCATCCACATTGATTTTGGAGCCCAAGAAAAGGAAATCTGACACTGTTTCCACATTTCCCCATCTATGTGCCATGAAGTGATAGGACCAGATACCACGATCTTAGTTTTTTGAATGTTGAGTTTTAAGCCAGCTTTTTGACTTTCTTCTTTCACCTGCATCAAGAAGCTCTTTAGTTCCTCTTCACTTTCTGCCATTAAAGTGGTATCATCTCCATATCTGAGGTTATTGTTATTTCTTCCTATAATCTTGATTCTAGCTTGTGCTTCATCTAGCCTGGCATTTCACGTGATGTACTCTGCATATACACCATGTATATGTATGCCCAGGGAAGGGGGACTCCCCTGGTGGCTCAGACGGTAAAAGCGTCTGTCTACAACACGGGAGACCTGGGTTCAATCCCTGGGTCGGGAAGATCCCCTGGAGAAGGAAATGGCAACCCACTCCAGGACTCTTGCTTGGAAAATCCCATGGACAGAGTGTGGTAGGCTACAGTCCATGGGGTCGCAAAGAGTCAGACACAACTGAGCGACTTCACTTCACTCTGCATATAAGTTAAATAAGCAGGGTGACAATATACAGCCTTGACGTATTCCTTTCCCAATTTGTAACCAGTCCATTGTTCCATGTCTGGTTCTTACTGTTGCTTCTTGTCCTGCATACAGGTTCCTTAGGAGGCAGGTCAGGTGATCTGGTATTCCCATCTCTTTAAGAACATTCCAGTTTGTTGTGATCCACACACGCAAAGGCTTTAGCATAGTCAATGAAGCAGATGTTGTTTTGGAATTCCCTAGCTTTTGATCTCTGGTTCCTCTGCCTTTTCTAAATCCAGCTTGTACATCTGGAAGTTCTCAGTTCATGTACTGCTAAAGCCTAGCTTGAAGGATTTTGACCAAAATCTTGCTGGCGTGGAAATGAGTGTCATTGTATGGTAATTTGAACATGCTTTGGCACTGCTTTTCTTTGGGATTAGAATGAAAACCGACCTTTTTCAGTTCTGTGGCCACTGCTGAGTTTTCCAGATTTGCTGGCATAATGAGTGCAGCACTTTAACAGCATCATGGTTTAAGATTTGAAGTAGCTTAGCTGGAATTTTGTCACCTCCACTAGCTTTGTTTGTAGTAATGCTTCCTAAGGCCCACTTGACTTCAGTGTTCAGGATGTCTGGCTCTAGGGCAGTGACCACATCATCGTGGTTATCTGGGTCATTAAGAGCTTTTTTGTACAGTTGTTTTGTATTCTTGCCACCTCTTCTTAATCTCTTCTGCTTCTGTTAGGCCCTTGCCGAAGAATCCTACCTTCAACAAAGCTAAAAACAACACTGGTAATATGCAGGTGTTGTTTAGCATTGAATTTAAGAGGGAATAAAAGGATAGTGAGACTTTAGTATCTGTCAGGAGTTCTGAAATATCTACCTTAAGCAATGAAGTGAATCAAATACAAGTCCAGTCTAAAAGTGGTCAGTCCTCCCTAATTTTGGCAAGCTTTAAAAATTCTAACTTACAATCATGACTGACTATAATCCATTATTTTTAAAAGTGCCTCCATCAGTCTCAGGGAAATCAAACTTCTCTTATGATTATCTCTGTGAGTTAAATGTAATGAAACTAGTGAAGACCACTTGCAATTTTTTTCTTTCTTTTTTTTTGTTTGTGGTTTTGTTGTTGTTCCACTAGCATGGATCCTGATGATTCTGAACAAGATCCTGAAACAAAGGAGCAATATGCTTCTGTCTATGTGGGTAGAGAAGAAGACATTAAAAGATCTGAAAGAATAACAGCTGTTGTCCATGACAGAGAAGTGGTCATTTTCTACCACAAAGGAGAATTTCATGCTATGGATATTCGCTGTTACCGTAAGATTTTATTTTTCATTTGTAAACATTGTATTTACTTACTGTCCAGAAAGCTATTCAAAGTTCAGTTTTTTAGTGACCAGATGTATGTTCAATTTCTTTGCAGACTCAGGAGGACCTTTACATTTGGGAGAAATAGAGGTATGTAAATCTGTTTTCAGCAAGTTCAGATGTTTTCTATTTATATTCCTACTATATTTACTGTCTCTATTCACAAATAATTTATATTTGGGTTTGAACTATATTTTCATGCTTTGAGTATAATTACCAATATTCTAGGAATTCACAACACTAACAATGTAAAGAAAACCATTTTACAGGTAAAGATGAGAAATATACATGTCTTCTGACCTAGAAAATATATTTTGAATGATCTACCTGCATATTATTGTACAAAAGTACATATATATATATACGCTTACATATGTGCATATACTATATGTGCATATACTGTATATGTAACTATATATACACTTAAACATTTGTTAAGTACATACTTAAGAAGTTCATTGTGGTATTATTCATTGTAATGAAAAAGTGAAGGAAATTTAAATGTGTAACAAGAGCAAACAGTTTAAATTAGGACTCCCCACGCTGTGGAATAGTGTGCTGTGCTGTGCTTAGTCGCTCGGTCGTGTCCGACTGTTTGTGAGCCCATGGGCTGTAGCCCACCAGGCTCCTCTGTCCATGGGGATTCTCCAGGCATGAATACTGGAGTGGGCTACTGTGCCCTCCTCCAGGGGATCTTCCCGACCCAAGGATTGAACCAGGCTCTCCCACACTGCAGGCAGATTCTTTACCATCTGAGCCCCCAGGGAAGCCTGTGGAATAGTATACAGCCAGTAAGTTAATGAGGCGTGAACGTCAACAGTGTATTTTTGAGTGGAAAAAAGCAAGTCAAAGAATAATAGGTCTAAAGAGGTCCCATTTCAAAAAATATATATTTACTTTTTATAATTCTACATAATTTGAATTTTTCCAATATGTATATATTACTTTTATGATATAATACAAATATCAGTATATATATTTTAAGAAAGAAAGAACACTTTGAAGGTTTAACTGAGGCAGGATGGGGGCACTGTTTTACTTCCTTGCATTCCCAAACTAGCTGCCCAATTTCTTTTCTACCTCATGAAACTGATCTCTCTCTCTCCCTTCCCTGTGTCTGTCTCTGACTAGCACAAAGTACATGCTTAAATTCAGTGTTACACTCTCTATACCACTCATATCTACCTACTTCCACAACTGTCCTCATGTTAAAAGATGTGTATTTAAATTATGAACATGAACTTATGAATCATGAAAATGTTTGCTGACAGTTCTGGCCGGGGAGGTGGTATGGAACAGCACTTCTGCACTTTTCGTGTGGAGATAAAAGTGTCAGCATCTGGATGATAGAATGGAAGAACTTCCCTCAGTTTCAGACCATCCTGAGAGCTATAAAACCTTGATGCTCAAAGTGTGGTTCACAGACCAACAACATTGGTGACACCTGGGAGTGTCATGGAAATGCAAATATTGCATCATGTTCTGGGACTACTGAACTTAAACAAGAGCTCCACTTAAACAAGATCATGAGTAAAGCCCATGTCCTTTAAAATTTTAGAAGCACTGCTTTAGGACAGCTAAAAGTTTGAAATGAACTACTTTGGATCATAAATTGCTCTTTAGTTAACATATACACTTATGCCATTAGTAACCTCTCTTGAAATTATATCTGAGACTTAGCATTCTTCCACCAGCTAGTGAAGATTCATTTAGAAGCACTTGAAGCCCTTGCCCCATTTCTGTCATGGAAGTGACATTAATATCTAACAGATAACAGCATACTGGGGTCACATGGGATAGTTGCCTGGGCTGGTTATCTTCTGATAGAGCTCTAACACACTGGATTTCTTATCAACTGCAGAAGAACTTGATGACTGCTAAGATTATGTTCTGCCTTATACTGAATAATTTGTAAATGGGAGGAAAAAAGAGAAGCCTGTTTTGCAGCCTGGTTCTTCTGCAGTAAATTCTATTCTGAGTCTGAGATTTATTGTCAACATTGGAAATGTCATATTATAAAATCAATTATTTCTTTCCCCAGGAATTTGATGGACGAGCATGTATAGTTTGCCCCTGGCATAAGTACAAAATTACTTTGGAAACAGGAGAAGGACTGTATCAGTCTATAAATCCTAAAGACCCATCAGCAAAACCCATGTGGTGCTCCAAAGGAATAAAGCAAAGGATTCACACAGTGACAGTGGACAATGGGAATATTTATGTGACTCTTTCTAATGAGCCTTTTAAGTGTGACTCTGACTTTTATGCCACTGGAGTCTTCAAAGTAATTCCAAGTTCCTTCTGATAAAATTTCATGGCAATGAAAAATGTTGTGTGTGTTTCAAAAGTATTTTTAGAATAACCTTGCTAAGTACCAAAGATGACTAACTTTTTCCAACACAAGCACATTTATCATCTTTAACAGTCATATTTATGAAAGGTTCAAAAGCACATGTACTTAATATGATGTAAGGATCATCATTGGGATCTATAGAATATGCTTCAGCCAATCCTCTGGATTGATTGGAACCTTAAGGTTATAGGTTTGAAATGTGCATTTGAAGAAGGATAAAAATAATTTGGAGTAACCAGAGTGAAGAAAAGGTTAAAAAAAAAGATTAGATATACTAAGAAAAATTAAGGGGGAAAATCCCTACTTGATATAGTAAACTTTATCATGGAAAAATTTTAATGTATACAAAGCAAAGAGAATAATAAACTCCCAGCACCCACCTTCAACAGTTACCAGCATTCTTCTATTCTTGCTTCATTTTTGCATGCGTTCACCACCCCACCTATTGATGGTTATTACAGTTTTTTAAGGTAAAATGTAAACACATTGAAATACTTAAGCTTTAACTATTCAGTGTTTCCAAATAAATAGCAGACCTTTTACACTTGAAAAATACTTCCCAGAATGGGATCAGTGTGCATGCTGAATCTAAAAACAGGAAACAACTTGCCTGACACTGAAACCAATAAACTAGCTCAGTTTCTCTCAGGTCATGGTGCACAGTTTGAGAGTAAGGAAGAGACAGCTGCTGCTAGCCATGAGAAATGTGACATCTGCTCAGTGAGCCAAAGGTCTCTGAATGCCAAATGAAATTTCTAAATAACACTTTTTAAAAATTTTTATCTGTATAGAATTTTGCACATATATGTACAACCAAGTGTCATATAAGTGTCACAGAGAGAAGAGATATAGGGGTGTTCCTCAGAATCTTTTCTTCTGAGTTCGTAGGCAGATGTTAAGTTAGTTCACCCTGCTTTCTCCATGCCAGTTATTTATGGCCATCACTTTTCTGGTTGCCTCGTGCCCACGCTGCATTATAAATCTCTGGGTGCTGATCATCTAAAACTCAGTAGCACATAGTAGAACATAAGGATAAGTGGGACCAGAAAGAACTATGAGGAACAGATTATGAATTCAGAATGAAAAAAGCTTTTTGTCAACAGTGGAACTTAATCTCAAACAGTAATCTTCTTAGTGACACAGGGCTGAATTAAGGCTTAGTATTCTAACAGTTGGATCCTTTCTCTTGGCTATTGTAAAAATAATAAGTGAATAAAATAGGTATCATTAAGGCTGTGCTTACAGAGCCTTTTGCTATATATTTTTTCTGATATATTGCTACATGCTACCCATATTCCAACACTTGCTTTCCTTAGACTACTACTGAGCCAGGCCTGTGTTTTTAATAAACACTTAGCAGCAGTTGCCCACGAGGTACAGAAAATGTACCATCTCTGGAATGGATACATCCCAGTCTATTATATCAGGTGCTGATCCTCCAATGACTTAACACATGTCCAGAATTTAAAATGCATGGAAGAAACCAAAGTACCTCCAGCAGGCAAAAACCATGACCCTGGTCTGTGGGACCAATCACAGAAGCATTTTTTTCCTGAGGATCCAATGGCAACAATGAGTAATGTGGACTTCGTTTTTAATTTGTTCCTCTAGATGGGGAAATAAAAATGTCATGTCATTCTCATATACAGACATCTCATCAGATTTGTAAGCAATATAAGTTTACATCTATGAATTTCAAGTTCTTCATAACTTTATAGATGAGTTTTAAAATAACCGATAATAGGAAAACTCAAACTGCAGCCTGTAGATACAAAATGTATATATATCCTTTTATTATCTCTGAAACAGATATGTAGCATTTTAATAGGGAGGGTTTTTTTCCCTCCCAGATAAATAGTTGGAAAGATACTCTAAACAAGACTTTAATACAAACATAAATGTATTATAAACATGTCCATATTATAAACCATCGCATAGAGTCTAACTCACCAAAGGGTACATTTTCTTGTTCATTAAAAAATATCACATAGTCAACATTGATTCATTTTATTTTCTCTACCATATACATACTTGAGAATGACATTTTAGCAATGGTCCGTCCCCCACCCCCATTTTTTTCCAAAGCAGAGCAGTCAGAACATAAAAACTAGTTTCCTAGTTGTCATTAGATAATGCTTAAGCTCTGTTCAGTGATATTTAAGTTCAGATTTGTTCATTCATTCATTCCAGTTGATTGGTCAAACACAGAATGTAAAACCTGAATCTTATTACTCAACTTATTAGCAGGAAGTTTGGGGCGATCGGAAATACTGTCTGGCTTCTCTGGTAATGACCTGTAAGGTTTTGCTTTGATTTCACCTTCGGGAAACAGAGGCTCAGAAAGCACAGGCTCCGAAAAGGCATTTCTAAAATTTTCACTCTCCTCTCTGTTTTGCCTTATGGATTCTTCTTCTTGGAAAATTTTCATTATCTTCTCCAGCACAGCATTAACACAGACTGTCTAACAATTTAAAAAAAGGTAAGGTTTCTTTATTATTGGAGTATAATTGCTTTATACTACTAAACTTAATAGATAAAAATCCAGTAATGCAATAAAACATTTAACATAAAATCATTGATCTGTATATTCTAACAAAAAGGTGCTTTCTTTCAGCTTCCTCTGGCACATGATAAGCGTGAAGAGGCTGATTCCTAATTATAAATATACCATAATCTAGAAGGAAAATTAAAACATAGTATGCTTTAATAAAAATATGCTTCACATCTCTAATTCATGTTTTACATCTTTATTCTCTAATTAAATGAAACATTCCTTTATTCTCCTGACTTAATTAAACATTTTCTCACTGCAATGATGTAAAGTAATTAGCCTCCAACTAATAAAAATAAATGAAAAAAAAAAAATAAACATACTGCTTATTTTCCTTACTAAAAAAAAATAAATAAATAAACATTTTCTGAGTGATGGATTTTATCCTCAAACATGTTAATATCTCAAAGTAGGTTTTCTGTTTTTACTTTTTTCCCATATAGACTTTGCTTATACCAATTATCTTCCATTGGAAGGGCATAAATATTTTGGTAAGAATTTAGTAAATTAATGAATCAACAATTTCTAAACAAACTTGTGATCCACTTTCCCTCAAAAATGCCATTCACTACTTTAAGGGTGTCAAAACGAAACACAGATTAAAAAAAAATAACTTTAAAAACCGAGAATCACCAAGAGCTGTATCTGTTAAACCTATAAGTTTACTGATGGAGATGATGCTGCCAAGCATTTAAGGCAAGCAACAAGAATAATAAAATCTGTAAAATACAAGAACACCTAAACTAGCTTCTTTTACCAAAGCGATGATGCCTTCAAGGTGACATAACAGGCGACAAATGCTCAGATGTTCCTAAAGAGAGGAACAGGAAGGAGGGCAGGCCTCGGCTTGACCAGCCCTTTCATCCTGACCTCCTGCCTCCTCTTTTCTTTGCCTGTCTCCCACCTCAGATTGGGGACACCAGATGCTTCCCTTCACTTCCCGGCGTTACCGTCTGGCAATGTGACCCCTTGGCCAACGTAATAAAATTTGTCTGCTGGGGAGGAAGATGGGAAGGATTTGGAGGAAAGTGTTTCCTCCTTTTTATATAGAAGAAAGACTGTCTTTTGCCTCTTCTCTCCTCCTTGCTTTGGACACTGATACGGATGTAAGGTATGAGCGTAAGGCAGCAAACCTAAGAACCAAAACCAACCAACAGGATAGTGGGAGAGGAAGATGGAGAGGCCCTGGGTTCGTGATGACACTCTAGATCCACTATACAAACCCAGGAACTGCCTGACTCTGGACTTCTAATTAAGTGAGATAGTTAAATATCTGTATTGATTAAGGTACTATCAGGCATTTTTTTTGTTACTTGTATCTGAGTACACCCAAGTCTAGAGTTATAAATCTTGAAGTCCATCACTTCCAGCTACAGACAGCTTTAACCATTTATCACAACCATGATCATTTTCTATGTACGCCATGCTACAAAAAGAAGGTTGGGAAGCCCTATCCTATTTGATGCATTTCTTCTTCCTCACATAACATTTTATCTGTGCCCACCCTAACCAATTCTGTCCAAGTCTCAGAAAATGAAAGATCTTGATCAAGGTCAGTATTTCTCCATCTTTGCTTGTAACCTATACCCTACCTATCAGTTTGCCTATCAATTATTGCCTGCCTCTTCAACCTCTCATTCTTGACTAGCTCCTCCCCTGCAACCTGTAACATACTAAAAGTATCTTCTATCCTGAAATTTAAGAATTTAAAATCCCTGTGGCCCTGTTTCCCTCTTGAGTACTACACACTCTTTTCTTGATCAAACCAGGACATACATCCATGGTTTCCATTTTATCATCTCCTTTTCACTCAGGAAAACTCAGAACCCAGGGCCTCTGCTAAAGTAGTTCTCAAGAAAATTAATTCCAACATCTTTACTACTAGATCTAATGGACACTTTTCAGATCTTCGTTTTACTTGACTTTTTCTGCTTGTATGTGACTCTTAACCACTCACAACTTCCTGAGACTCTAATTCCTTGACAGCATTTCCCCTGATTCTCTTCCTGCTTTTCTTATTATTGATCCTCTGTCTCCTTCATGGATTTCTTCTTAGCTTATCTTAAACAGAAAGTGTTCTTCACATTTCTGCCAACGTTCTACTCTTTTCACTTGGCATGGTTCTACCCTCAGGGCGTTAACTTCCAACACAGATGTTATTTGCTTTCAAAACCATAATTCTAGCCCTGACTTCTCCTAGGACTTGGATGAATATATCACCAATTATCAGAGATCACCAAAAAAATTGTTTCTTAGTTTATAGCATAAGTCATATAGGATGATTTCAAAAGCCTTTGAAAAATTCAAGTAATTGTGGTTTTAATCTAGTTGGTTTTAGTTTCACCATAGCCATGTCATCCCACTCATTTTCTGCAGTATATTTGCATCAATCTTGTATGAGATTCACATTTAAGATACTGAACATTTCTCAAAATTTTAAAGCATTTGCAAAATATTTGATAAATTCAGAGTTTAAAAAAATTTTAAATATGTTTAAAATGAGTTCTTTTACACTTTTTTCCCTAAGTTGTCTTGGCTATTCTTTACCTTTGGCATTTCCTTGTAAATTTTAGAATAAACTAGTCAATATACACATACACACCTGCTCAAATTTTAATTGGGATTGCACTGAATCTGTGGATTATTAGGAAAATTTAACCTTTATTCTTGTCTCTTTCAATATGATCAAAAAAATAAATAGGTAAAAGACCTCTAACAAAAAAGCCATAAATTTATTAACAGAAAGAAGATCTAAATAAATAGAGAAATATACCACGTTCATAGATTGGAAGGAGAACCTATTTTACCAGTTATGAAGACTTAATGTAAAGCGCCAGTAAATAATACAGTGTTGAATTGGTATAAGAATAGACAGATAGTTGACTAGAACAAAGAGAATATAAACAGACCTACATATATAAGGACATTTAATTTATCTTAAAAAAGGTGTTCTGGGGCAATAGGAAAGAGGTTTACTTTTTTCCCTGATAAATTGAGTTGGATCAACTGGGCGTCCCTGGTGGCTCAGATGGTAAAGAATCCACCTGCAATGCAGGAGACCTGGGTTCAATCCCTGGGTTGGGAGGATCCCCTGGAGGAGGGCATGGCAGCCCACCCCAGTAATTCTTGCCTGGAGAATCCCATGGACAGAGGAGCCTGGCGGGCTGCAGTCCATGAGGTTGCAGAGAGTCGGACACAACTGAGCGAGTAAGCACAGCACAGCACAATGAGATGCCCACGGAGGGAAAATACGACCCTTGCCTCATACCAACTCCAGATGTGTTATAACTCTAAAAGTGAAAGGCAAAATAACAAAGCTCCTAGGATATATCAGAGGGAGTAGTTTCATGACTAGGATGTAAGTCAAGATTCCCTAATTAAGACATAAAAAGCACTTAATATAAAGAAGATTAATAAATGAGACTTCATTAAAATTAAGAACTTCTGTTTTAAAAGACACTCCTAAAAATGAAAGGCTAGTCACAGAGTAAAATAAATCTGCCCAGATTCAACTGAAAAAAGGTCTTGTTCCAATAATACAGTTAAAAGTACAAATTGATAATAAACCAATGGACAACTCCAAGTAGGAAAATGAGAAGAGACTAACAGAAATTAACAAAAGAGGATATCCAATTAATGTATAAAAAAGGTATTCAGTCTTAATAATCAATAAAATGCAAATTAAAAACAATATGATAGTACTACATACCCACAAAAATGGCTATACCAGAAAAGATTGATAATACCAAATGTTAGTGATGATACAGAGCAACTGGGATTCACAATCTGCTAGAATGAACTGTTAAAACATTTTGGAAAACTTTGGCAATATTTACTAGAGACAAACATATGCAAAGTCTTACAGTCCAGACATTTCACCCAAACATATGTACAAGAACATTCACAGCAACCTATTCACAATAGCCAAAGTTCTAACTAATCTAAATATTCAACAATAGAACAGATAGTTGTATATTTAATCAATGGAATACTGTATAGCAGTGACAGTCAACAAGCTCCTGCTCTAGGCAACAAATTAATCTCACAATGATAATGTTGAGCAATACAAGACCTACAGAAGAACATAGTATATGATTTCATTTATATACAAGTCAAAACTGACTATGCCATTAGAAGTCAAAATAGTGCTTGCCCTTACAGAAGAGGTTAGTGATCATAAGGAGGCAAGAAAGAGGCTTCTAGAATGATAGTATAATGTTTTGTTTCTTTATCCATATGATACATCAGTTAATAGATTTTCTGATAATTCATCAAGCTGTGTACTTTTCTTTTTGTATGTTGTAATTATTTCAATTAAAGGTAAATATAAATGGCAATGAATTAAAAGAAAATAACTTTATAATTTATAATAGTCTGTATATTTTTGTCATACTTTTTAATGAACACTTTTGTAATTCAAAAAACAAAAGCTGAACTTGAACCAACCATGGCACAATGACAGAAACAAAACACCTGTAAGCTAATGAAAGCAAAACCAAAATGTTTTGACCAAACAGTAATAAATTTTTTAAAAAGTAAAATAAGTTTTATTACTTAAGCAACTTAGTCTTTGGTGAATTGACCTGGCTCCTTAGAAATGTAATTTTTAATGTAAAATTATTTTGTGTAATAAGAGAATAATATCTTGGTTTAAGAATAGACTATACAGTATTTCTTTACATAAAATAATTATATTTCCAGATTCTAATTATTTTCTTAACTTACCAAATAAATGAGTGCTGCATATGAAGCGCACATTATGCTAGTTAAAGCAGTCTTTGCTGGGAAAGAAATGATTTCAAACAAAGATCCCTTTCTGACCTGAAAAAACAAATGAGTTTTCTTATTAAAACAAAAAATTTTCAATGTTACAATGTTAAATCTTATGTTATTGTAAAATGAGAATTCAAATATTGACAGTCATCTACTTTAGATCTGAGTTTTCTCACACTTTGAAAATATAATGTCTTCCTCCTTTACAAAAAGATACTTTCTTTTGCTAATTAAAACCTATGGCAGATCTATTTAAAAAAAATCTCCCGTTTCCAAAATCTGATTTTTAGTTTTTGACGTTTACCAAGTGCGCTCACTAGGGGGTGCTGCTGTGCTTATTAGAAAAACAGTCTTTGTTGAAATTCATGGAGTCATCCTTTACTAAATTATTCACCTCTTCAATTAAGCAAACAGCAGTGAAAATACTGGGCATTTCCTGGAGATTAATGACCTGCCTGGAAATGTTAATCATGAGCTTGCTGAAGGCCAGCGTTAATCTTAGATGATCATTAAGCCTCAGCAGATACTTTGCGCTCAAATCCAGCATGCTTTTTGAAATGTGCAGGTTTGCACTAATAGTTTGTCTCTCAGATTTTTCTTGCTTCTAGAATGTGTCCCTGCCTCACTACAATGTTTTCAGTTTAAGGGAACTGTAACTCTTATACTAGGCCACTTCTGTGGCTTTGAGCTATAAGGATGTGAAATGATGACAGTAGGAAGAACATCCCCTTCCCCTTTAGCAGTGAAGGGGCAGTTAGTCATACTTCTCTGAAGAGCCAAGTCACTCAGAGGCTTCAGAAACTCCCCAAAGGTATCGGATGTAAATATAAAATCATGTAAATGCACAATGAAGTGAAGGGGCTCAGTCATGTTCAACTCTTTGCAACCCCATGAACTGTATGTAGCCTGCCAGGCTCCTCCGCCCATGGCATTTTCCAGGCAAGAATACCGTAAAATTGCACACAAATGAGAACGGTATCTGCATATATATGTGATCATTAAAAGGTTCAGTTCAGTTCAGTCGCTCAGTCGTGTCTGACTCTTTGCGACCCCATGGACTGCAGCACGCCAGGCCTCCCTGTCCATCACCAACTCCTGGAGTTTACTCAAACTCATGTCCATTGAGTCGGTGATGCCATCCAACCATCTCATCCTCTGTCATCCCTTCTCCTCCCACCTTCAATCTTTCCCAGCATCAGGGTCTTTTCCAAAGAGTTGGTTCTTTGCATCAGGTGGCCCAAGTATTGGAGTTTCAGCTTCAATGTCAGTCCTTCCAATGAACATTCAGGACTGATCTCCTTTAGATGGACTGGTTGGATTAAAAGGTTATAACACTGGAAAACTGAAACAATGGTAGCAGAATGGCTAGGTAAATTATGCGTATCCACCCAATAGTAACGCTGCAGCCTTTTAAATGGTGCCTCTGAAGAACACGTGGTAGCATTTTATTGAGTGGACACGTATATGGCGCTGTATACCAGGTCCTGCTCTAAGTGCTTATTGTATTCAGTTTTTGCTTACTGCTGTCCCTACGGAAGAACAAAGGTGTCCATCACAATCTCCGTTCTCCTCTCAAGCGATGTATGGAAAGCTGAAGCCAATAATGCTATCTAGCATAGTAGCTGAGAGATGGTGGAGTGAAGAGGGACAAGGGAGGGGCGTTTTCCTTCTTACCCCCACCCTTCAGGCCGCACTAGCTCCTACACACAGTGGGCAGTTTTAGCCCACTCTCCCCATATGTCAGTCTGGAAAACGTCCCAGGCTTCCTGGCTTCTGGGAAGCGCTTCCAGGAAATGAAGCTGCTGGTACTCTCTCACTCTTGCTGGAAGACTCAGATTGATGCCTTGCCTTTGAACCCCACTATTAAGCTGAAGGAGACAAACTCTGTAAGCAGGGAGCAGATGTTAGGAAGGAAATCAGATACACGCCAACAGAATGCCTTGTAGTAGAGTAAAATATTCATGAGTTTGTGAATATATGGATGTAATGGAAGGTCCAATAATTGGTAGGTCATATACAATGAAAATAAAAATGGGGTGTGCATGCAAGGAAAATTACTGTTTCTGTTTCACTGCACCTTTCTTTTTCAGATTTTTGTCCTTCACCTAAAAGTAATTAAAATGGATTAGTTTAGAAATAAATATGTATTTGATGTATGTTATGCTTCTGAATGACAAATCTGTATATTGCCTGGGGGTTACTTTTTTACCATTTTAATGCTTTTAATAAATATTTGCTGTTACTATAATAAATCACCCCTGTAAAAATACATATCCTTCAAAATGTATGTGGCTACTAGCTAAGTAGCCATTTTTCCATTTTATGACTCACTTGCAATACATGTTTTTCATATTATAAACCACACTGTTTCATTTTTGGTTTGCTATGGGCAGGAATAGTATATGGCAAAAACTGAGACAAACAAACTGGAGAAATTTGGGAAAAGGGAGGCTTTGTCTAGACTGTCTTGGCTGGTTTCAAAAATTTTATCTTAACCTTGTTGTTACATGATTTTTATTTCATTTGCATTTAAAAGTATTGTGATATCACTATTATATCCATATATTTCCTTTTTGAATTTGTTAATATTAACATATAAGATATATGGATATTTCAACAAGTAAAAACATTTCAGTTTTAAATTTCTCCCACATAATTTCCTGTTCTACATCTCCCATATAATTTTGACTGCCTTGTCTCATGGAAGAAGTGTCTATATTCATCTTATCTTCACTAACAATGAGATAAATCACACAAAAAAGCAGACTATAAGCAGCTTAGAAAATAGAGATATACTTACAGATAACCTGAAGGTTGGAGAATTACCAGGTCCAACTTAATCTATATTGTCCAAAACCATCTTGATAAAATATCAAAGGAGTTATAGGGGAAACTCTTTCTCAGTGATTCACAAATAAGTGTTGGAAGAAATACTGCTTTTACAGGTCCAGAAAAAAGTGTTTCCTTTAAGTCTGGAAAAGCTACTTGATCATGACTTTGCTTAGCAACCCACAATACTCATGAATGCAGGGAAGACTCCTAGCAATGCACAGGAAAGAAAGCTTTCTGACTTTGTTTTATCCCAGTATTGGGGCTTCCCAGATAGCTCAGTGGTAAAGAATCCACCTGCAATGTAAGAGATGGAGTCAATCTCTGGGTTAGGAAGATCCCCTGGAGGAGGAAATGGCAACCCACTCCAGTATTCTTGCCTGGAAAATCCCATGGACAGAGGAGATTGGTGGGCTACAGTCCATGGGGTCGTGAAAGAATGGAACACGACTTAATGATTAAACAACAGTGCGCCAGTATTAACAGCCTGTGGAGCATTACCCTTGAATGAGCTCTTAATCTGGGTGGTCCTATAAAAGCTCAAATGTCTCACCCTCTTGGCCAACCTGCCAAAGTATGTCTTCAAGATTCCAATACTTCTGCTTTCCAGGAATTGTCCTTTTCCCCCCACCGAGTCTTGAATTACACCACCCAAGATAGACTCATGGCAAGCCCTTCAAGGAAGTAAAGAAGTTCCTGCTATTTATGAGGTTTACAAACCCCAAACTGGAGTCTACCTTAGAGGGTTGAGGGCGAGGAAGAAACTTTACTTAGGTAAGCCTCTGTGATTCTTCATCTTGAAAAAAGGAGCAACACTCCCCTGGGGTCCACTTATGCCACAGGCACTCCTGAGGCTAAGAGTTAGTTTGCCCATCTCTTGACTACACCATTCCAGAGAATGTGTCCAAAGTAGAAGCAAACACCTCTAAAGTCACTATACAGAAGATTCTATCATAGACAGAGCTTCTGGTCCTGTGGCCCTGCGCTGGGGTGCCAAAGTCAGCAAATGTGTCTGGGAGCTGACGTGTCTTGGCTGAAGTCAACATCCAAGCTGATTATGTAGGTCACTGCAGCCTAGAGCAGCTGCAGGCTTCACTCGGGCAGGCAGCTTCCAAGGCTAAGCAGATACAGCATTCTGTAAGTATTGCTGCTGGGGATACTGAAAATCACCAAGAAATTCTCAGTTTTCTGTTCCTAAGGCCCCCTGTAGAAGAAGTAGGTATATCACTAACCTCAGTCCTGCACAACAGGGAACGGTTTGGGGACCCACAGAGCCAGGTGCCAAGGAAGTCTCTCAACAAGAGGGCCAGCTGGACAGGCCTGACCCCAGCTCTCCACATTTCACTCCTTTTATTTTCACACACCACAGAGTTCCATCTTGACACAGGCAGCCTGACCATTCTTGAAGGAATTCAGGCTGGAGTCCACTCTGGGTAAGCTGAACTCTGATATGCCATTGACCTCTAGGCACAGTCTGGTTCCATGGATACATTCCATTCACAGACCAACCCACTGACCTCCACCATACCTCACACGTTACTCTGCTGCTCCTTGGATTCTCCAGACCACTGAACTTCACTACGCACGCTTCTACGTCTATCCTCACTGAGACTTTCAGAGTTGATATATGTTTTCTTCCTTGCTACAACTTCGGTTCCTTTCAGTGGCAATTCTGAATTTCCACCCTAGCTAATACACATTACCCTAGAAAAGCTTCCTCCTCACTCCTAACCCTCGAGGACCCCGGCAGCTCTGACCTGGGACTGTTCCCACTTGTCTCACTTCAGCCATGTGGAACTACTTACATTTCCTACGTAAGTCATGCTCTTGCCTCAGCTTCTTAATATACATTGTCCTCTTTCACAAACAATTCTCCTACTTCTTCACTGGGATAATTTCCCTTCCTCCTAAGCTCAGATCCAGTATCATCTTATAGGGAGACTACACCGACTCCTCTTAGGAATTATTTCCCCCTTGTTGTTGCTTCCATAGTCCACTTCGCACACTTTCATCATGCACTCAGCACACCCAGTGGTCACGGCTTACTTGCCTATCATCCCTATAGTCCACAGGACATTTATGAATCCATATTTTTTTTTTAATTTATTTATTTATTTATTTTATTTATCACAACCATAGTGTTATGAATCCATATTAAAAAGCAGAGACATTACTTTGCCAACAAAAGTCCGTCTAGTCAAGGCTATGGTTTTTCCAGT